TTTAGAACAATTTAATAGCATTTTCTAAAATTAATATTGTTTCAACACTTGGCAAAATAGAAGTAATCAAATAATATTTTTGATTAATTTTAGTTTCTTCGTTTTTTAAAATGTTTATATGAAAAGCTAAAAAAAATGTTTTAATAAATTCTAAAACAGACTATTTTTGTTCTAAATTAAAATTTAGAAAAGGAAAACAAATAAGATCGTATAGCACAAAGAATGGTACTATAGCACGATTAAACTCAATTAGTCTCCAAACGAAAACACTGGTCGGTGATTAATTCATCATCTACTGGAGCTTCATTAATTTGTCGTGTATCTACAATAATAGTTGATCTTATACAATTTTGAGATTCGATTACATTATATCACGTTCTGTGCATGTCATATTATTAAAGAAATGAGAAATTTGTCTTAAGGTGTGGATTTTTACTACTATATTATAATTAACATAATATGTATTTTGTTCATCTTACTTGTGTAAGAAAAACTGATATTTCCCATTTTAGTGATTTATTATTGAAATCTTCTCTCCCATAAATATCACTCGTTTTCTCTTAGTAAATGGAGACCAAAAAAACAGAAATGGGTTCTTGTACCTTAATTTGCATAAATTATCCTCAAATAGATGCTCTACAAGTAGAAATTAAAATCTTCCTAATTCTACCATCCTCGTTAAAAAATAAAAATAATTTTCTTTATCCCTCCAAATCAAAGAAAACCGTTCAATATAACTACAAATTTTAATATAAAAATTTAATTTAAAAAAGAAATTTAACCATCATCTCATTGGACCAAATATGGCCACTGCATTCAATTTAATTGATGTTAACGGAAGAATAAACATTATAACATTTCATTGGACCGCCATCTCATTGGAAGAAGAAAAAATCCAAGTCCATTTGAAGCCAGCAATCAATGGTTCCATTTCCTTCTTCAAGCCAGAACGGTTCCATTTCCTTCTTCAAGCTAGCAATCAACGAAGGAGAATCTACAAACACATCCAGCTCTTTACAAGAGAATCTACAAACACTTCATTATTTGTAGAATTCCAGAACGGTTCCATTTCCATTTCCATTTCCTTCATTGTTTTCTTCCATTAACCCATAGCATTCCAGTCATGAACTCATCCAGATCTTCACAAGAGAATCTACAAACACAACAAACAGTTGTAAGACCATCTATTCGCGGACAAAATTTTGATGATAAGCCACTNGCATTCCAGTCATGAACTCATCCAGCTCTTCACAAGAGAATCTACAAACACAACAAACAGTTGTAAGACCATCTATTCGCGGACAAAATTTTGATGATAAGCCACTATAGAATCATGTCAAGGTTCTGGGTACGGCAGTAGGTAGATGAGGAAATCGCACTTGGAGTTGCAACAAGAAAGTGACCGGATCCTATACTAAAGTGAAGGCTCATTTGCTAAAACTTTCCAATCACGGGGTTCAACTTTGTAAGACTATAACTGATGACATACTGCGAGAGATCACGAAGGAACACGAGCAACCTGAATGGAAAAAATCACAGCATGAGTACAGTGAAAGGAAAAAGGCAGAATATATTTCACTACCCAATAGTTCGAATTTGTTACAGAAGAAACGAAAGAAGAGAGGAGATGGACCTAGAAAAACCATTTGACATGGCACAGAGGGATGTAGCTGATAAAGAGGCTGTCCGTATGTTTTATGCAAGTGCTTTANGCATTCCAGTCATGAACTCATCCAGTTCTTCACAAGAGAATCTACAAACACAACAAACAGTTGTAAGACCATCTATTCGCGGACAAAATTTTGATGATAAGCCACTATAGAATCATGTCAAGGTTCTAGGTACGGCAGTAGGTAGATGAGGAAATCGCACTTGGAGTTGCAACTACTGCAACAAGAAAGTGACCGGATCCTATACTAAAGTGAAGGCACATTTGCTAAAACTTTCCAATCACGAGGTTCAACTTTGTAAGGCTATAACTGATGACATACTGCGAGAGATCACGAAGGAACACGAGCAACCTGAATGGAAAAAATCACAGCATGAGTACAGTGAAAGGAAAAAGGCAGAATATATTTCACTACCCAACAGTTCGAATTTGTTACAGAAGAAACGAAAAAAGAGAGGAGATGGACCTAGAAAAACCATTTGACATGGCACGGAGGGATGTAGCTGATAAAGAGGTTGTCCGTATGTTTTATGCAAGTGCTTTACCATTCAACTTTGCAAAATCTCCCTACTTCAGACAATACTCAAGAACATTAGCCAATAGCAACTTGGCAGGTTACACTTCTCCTTCATAATAGGTTGCATACTACATTGTTTGCCTAAGAAAATGAGCATATTAAAAGAAAACTTCAACCCATAAGAGATTCGTAGAGGAAAAGAGGGGTATCAATCATTTATGATGGATGGTCAGATAAGCAGAAGAGACCTCTTATAAATATTATGGCTGCTTCTGCTGGAGGAGCAATGTCTATTCAGTCAATTGATGCAACTGGAAATATAAAGGATCGTGATTATGTTGCGACGTTGTTTCTAAATGCAATCAAGCAAATTGAAGAAGAAAATGTTGTTCAAATCATCATAGACAATGCAGGCAATTGCAAAGATGCTGGGTTAAGCATAAAATCTAGGTATCCTCATATCTTATGGACTCCTTATGTGGTACATAATTTGAATTTGGCTTTAAAAAGTATTTGTGATCCTCCTGAAAAATTACCTCAATATGCAAGTTGTAAGTTGATTGCTGATTTGGTGAATGATGTACAAATTATTCGTAATTTTATTGTCAATCATGTTATGGCATTAGCAATATACAATAAATACTCTAAGTTGAGTTTGTTGATGGTGGCTAACACGAGATTTGCATAGAGTATTGTAATGACTAAACGCTTGAGAGAAATTAGGTCGGCACTAGAAAAAATGATGATAGATTTAGATTGGAAAGTTTATAGGGATGCAAATATTGATAGTAAAGCACAAGAAGTGAAAAAATGCATCGTGACTGATACTTGGTGGGATGATTTGGATTATTTTTTGTCTTTTACAGAGTCTATACTTAATATGTTACAAGTTTCTGATACGGATTCTCCTATTTTGCATTTAATATATGATATGTGGGGCACGATGATTGAAAATGTGAAAAAAAATCAAATTTCAGCATAAAGGGATAGATATGTTTGGTGGTAAATCTACATTTTTTGATATTATTCACCAAATTTTAGAGAGTAGATAGAACAAGAGCAACACTCCCCTACATTGTATGGCACATTCTTTAGTTCCTAAATATTATTGTGAAGTTTGGTTTAAAGAAGGAACTAATGGAATGCAAATAATTGCACCACACGAGGATTAAGAAGTTTCCATGAATAGAAGCAAATGCTTCAAGAGGTTGTTTTCAAATTCAAATGATTTGAAGAAAGTATATGTTGAATATGGAGTATTTTGTAGTGGATCAAATTATTTCAAGCAGCCGCATGTAATTGATGCAAGAATGTTTGAAGAACCAATTTCTTGGTGGGCTAATTATGGTGCCTCTATACCTTTGTTGCAATCTTTGGCTTTTAAATGGCTTTCACAACTGACATCTTCATCTTGTTGCGAGAGAAATTGGAGTACCTATTCATTCATTCAAAGCATCAAGAGAAACAAATTGGCAACAAGTAAGGCTGAAGACCTCGTCTTTGTCCATCGTAATCTCCGTCTGATGTCACGAAATGAAGAGGCGTACAAAGAAGGACCGACAAAATATTGGGATCTATTTATGTTTTCCATAAGCTTAACATCTTCATTCTTCATTAAAGAAATGTTTTGGATTAATTGTTTATGCATTTTTCATTTTGTAGGTGGAGATACCACTAATTTGGATGAACAAACAACCATTAAACTGGCAAAACTTTCCCTTGATGAGCCACAACTAGAGTCATTTATTCTTGATGATAATGAGTAGAGTTGGAGGGGAATTGGTTGATGAAATGGATTTTTAGGATCAATTGCTGCTATTGTAATTAATTATATCATTTTTTATTTTATTTTAATTTTGTGCTTTGTCATGTCAATTTATTTCTTTGGGTGTTTTAGACTTTTATTATAAATTTTTAGTTGATTTTTAAGTGACATGTTTATCTTTTAACAATTTACAACTTAATTATTATTTAAATTTTCTTTTTACATATGAAGTTTTTGAAAAAAAATAATAATAATTGAAGTTTCAAAGACGTACCCACCTACCAATGTCCGAAATTTGGACTCTTTTTAGTCATATTTCCGTATCCTCCATTTTAAAAAATAAAAAATCTGACACTAAAACACTTACCCGTACCTGAATCCGAGTAACATAGGCTAGAAGCCATACATGTTATGTTCTTGTGCATGTCGGTAAAGGCCAAAGAGTATGGAAACAGGCGAGCTGTTGAAAGCTTATTAATTGAGAGTAAAACAAGATACTCATCAATGGATTTGTTGTGTGCTATGGCTACTTTGGGGGACTTAAATAACCATGGAGGGAAAAAAAGTTCGTTATCAACTGTTAGATTTCGCCAACAATCTCCTTCTACCTGGGTTTGCAGTGAATTTAAAGGCGATGAAAAGGGAAGAATGAAGCCGTTCATTTCAAAAAATGGAGAAAGGTTTTATAACTGGTGAAATGAAGGGAAAAATGAAAACTTTTGAGTTAACAGTTGAAGGACAATTTTGTTATTTTACCATTTTATTACATTTTGATTTTATTTTTTTTTTAAATATGAGTCAAAGGCCATTTCTCCAAATTATTTGTCCAACCCGGCTAACTAGCTAAATTTCCCATTTGGCAATTCCCAAATCGCGCCTTTCACTCTCATATCTTGCCTTCCATCGACATGAAGAAGGAAGAAGGTAATAAAATCACACTGCATTTGTTTAAAATGCTTTCTGCCTCACTCTCGTCTCTCATCTTGCATCGGCAGAAGAAGAAGAAGAAGGTGTTTAATCCAAATTTACCACAGAATCTGTTTAATGTTTGTTTGAGTAATTACAGGGGCAGACGCAGACTTTAAAAGTTAGGGGGACACAATCAAACTTGCAAAGAAGTTGAGAGAAATTTTATAATCGAAAATAGTCTAAAAAAATCATACCCAATGTAATTTTAAATCCGAAAATTTACATGGGATATGACTTTTTCGAATGTAAAATTTCGAAATTTTTTGATATCACATTCCATATAAAATGATGAAAATTACATTGCGAAATTTATATCGCAAAAATAATAAATGTTAATGAAATAATTGAATTTTTTAAAAAATGCAAATTAGACGTCTTTTTTTAAGACTCACGTTTAATGTATTTTTAACTATTTTCGATATCTGTTTGAACTATTCGACATGCCCATAATGTAGTTCTCGAAATAAGTTTTGAGATGACATAAGCAATTTGAATATTCGATTAGCATACAATCGTTGGAGAATTTTTAAAATTAGCATGTTATTGAAATTCAAATTTATTGTGATTTTGCCCCTGATTGGTGGAGTTTAAAATCAAATTTTTAGTAAATTTCGATAAAAATTAAACATTTATGAATTCCATGAATTATGTTATTAAAATTAATTGTTAACTTTGATTTAAATTAAAATTTAAATTTCAATCGATTCCAAACACGATTTTATAAAAAAAAAAAATTCAAAAGTTGGGGGTTACGACCCCCCTTAGGTCCGTCCATGAGTAATTATGTGTGTTTATAATTGTTATTATGTGTGTGTTCGAGTAATGTGAATGTATGGACGTTGATTTGTGCTTAACTTCTTGTTCTTGATAGTTCAATATAGGGTAAATAGAAATAGAATTGAGGGTGGATTTTGAATAATTTTGCTTTCTTGAAATTTTTCTTTTATTCCAAAATTAGGAATGAACTTGTTCTTGATTCCACGGTAAACTAAACTTCCCCCTTTTATTTAATTCTTTATATTTCATTCATTTTGAGTTGAACATTTTATCGACAATTAACAAATTCATGTTTGATAGATGATTCTCAAATATTTTGATAGCTATTTTCAAGTTTTGAATTTGAAGCAGAGTTTCAATCTTTTGCATTTCACTTACTATATAAACTCTTCTTTTTTCGTATTTATTTTTCAGCTTGCATGTATTTATTTTAAGCCTATATGCTATATAGTATCGATTGAAAGTGTTTGTCAAGTCAGTCTCATTTTTCCAAAGTGAGCATTCGTGATTATCTCTAGCTGTATTGCTGTAGATAGAGGGGAAAAGGAAAAAAATTACTTCGGAATTATGTCTCACTTGCTAAACCAACTTATAAAATGAAGTTGAAGTGAACAAGTGTTGCTATTCTATGAGGAATTTTCAATAGGAATGAAGAGAGTTCTAAAATAGGATTTTTTTTTTTTTTTTTATTTGTTACTGCATTGCTATCTAGTTAACAACGATATTAAAGTATGAAAACTCGTAAGGAAGAAGTACAATTTATAAACTATATCATTTTTAGTATTGTCGTAATATTGTTTTATATTTTTATCATCGTTAAATTTATGTCAAAAAACTCAAAGTTCGATGTTGATTAAACAATGTTCCTGGCTCCGCCCCTGGGCGGGGAGAGTGGTTATCTCCTACACGCTGGGAGACATACATGCTATGTTCTTGTTCAGGTCGGCAAAGGTCAAACAGTATGGAAACAGACGAGCTGTCGGAAGCTTATTAATCGAGAGTAAAACAAGATACTAATGAGTGGAGTAGTTGTGTGCTATGGCTGCTTTAGGA